CGAGTTTCGTGGAGTACTTGGAAGGCGGGCTCCGCCTGAAGGCACAAGGCGACGTCGCAGGCTTGTGCCAGACCCACCAGCAGGCGCAGGTGCTGACCAGTGGCGAGGTGAAGCTGATGAAGGCAGCCATGTTTTGCCGAAGTCAGAGCGGGACGCGTCGGCGCTCCTCGAGCCGAGAGCGTCCCAAGACGTCGCCACTAGTTCGCCGGATGCCTCGAATGGCCACGCTTTGCCAAGGTCAGAACCGGCAGCCTCGGTGCTCCTCGAGCCGAGTGCTGCCTCACGCGTCGCCACGTCGCCGGATCAAAACAAGCAGTCCAGCAAGAGAGGCACCTACAGCCTGCAGCCCAAGCTACAGAGGCCCGACGGACACCTGTTCCACGAGCGCATGGCGGTCAGCCCGACCCAGACGCTCATCAAGGCCTTAGAGGAGGTGGGGGACGACTGGGAGATCCTGCTGCCGACCCTCTACTGGATGGCGAACATAATCCAGACCAAGACTGAGGCTCTGAGCCAGTGGTGCTGGAAGCTGGTGGGCGCAGATATCCTGGCCTCTCACCGCCAAGATGCTCGAGATCAGTACCATCGCATTGCAGGAGACATACGCGACGCATGGGACAAGAGGCAAACGGACGTAGCGTTTGCACGGCTGAGGGGAATGGGCACTGGTTCTCAGAAGCGCATGATGAACAAGTGTCTCCCGTCGGTCAAGCTCCTCGACGGCACGTGCGCCACGTCGCAGGCCCGGATGGGGAACAGGTGGCTCCAGCACTTCAGCCTGGTAGAGTTCGCGGCGGACGTGCCGATCGTGGACCTCCACAAGCCCATGCAGGCGCAGTTTGAGAAGGGAAGCCTGATGCCAGACGTACTCGACCCCAGCTGCGCCCCGACGTTGGCGGACATGGAGCGTGCGATGAAGATCACGAAGGACTCAGCGCCAGGGGTCGACGGCCTGATGGGGAAGCTCTTCCGCACACAGCCGAAGACACTGGCGGCGGCTTACCACCCACTGGCAACCAAGTTTGCCTGCACAGGAGTGGAGCCGGCACAATGGAAAGGAGGTTTCTACAGACACCACCACAAGAAAAAGCAGGCCGAAGAGTGCGGCAACCACAGGTGCTTCGCGGTCACGGCCATGGTGGGCAAAAGGGTGAGGCACTTCTACAGGTCAAAGGTGGCGGAGTACCTGCCACAAGCCGTTGGAGACCGCCAATTTGGAGGCGTCAGGCGCAGAGGCACTCAGCATGCGTCTGTGGTCACCAGGATGCTGCAGTCAGCGGCGTCCGCCAACATGCTGTCCTTCGCGGCAATCTTCATGGACGTCAAGAACGCATTCTACTCCATGGTCAGGGAGCTGGCGCTGCGCACGCCCATGGCCAAGGCAGACAAGGACGCGATCGCCGAGTCCACGGCCGTCCCGCCCACGGCCCTGGAGATCCTGAAGAAGAAGCTGGAGGAGGAGATGCCGCTGCTCCACCGTACGGAGGCCAGTGAGCATCTGAAGGCATTGGTCGAGGAGCAGTACACGGCCTCATGGTTCGTCTGCGAGAGCTCAGACCACGTTGCCCTGGGTGCCAAGTCCTCGATCCCAGGCCAACCCCTCGCCGACCAGATCTACGAGATCGCCATGGCGGAGGCCATCAGGATCTCAGAGGCGAGGATCGAGGAGGAGGGCTACGGCATCTTTGTCACAGGTGCCAACGTACGCTCGCTGGCGCAGCAGCTCGACAGCGACCTCGACTTCGAGAAGATACCAGGCCACAGCGTGGCCTTTGCGGACGACGGCGCATTCTTCTTCATCGGCAAGGCTGAGGAGGCGATGGATGCGGTGGCAGTCATCGCGGGCATCGTCCTGGACACTTTCGCGGAGTTCGGCCTCGTCCTCAACCTTGACCCTGGCAAATCGGAGGTACTCTTTGCCTTCGCAGGTCAAGGGGCGGAGGGAGCGAGGAGGACCCTATGGCATGAGTGCCATGGAAGGGTCAAGCTCAGGTCGAAGCACTACGAGGGAGCCGTCATCCACGCAGTGCACAACCACGTGGCGCTGGGGACGGTCATCGACGACCACGGCGCGGTGTGCCCAGAGCTCTACCGCCGCGCAGCCACCACTACAGCCGCTCTCAGGATGCTGAGAGAGAAGGTCTTCCGCAGCCACCAGCTGGACCTGCCTACCAAGATGGTATTCGATGACGCCCTGGTATGCTCGTCGAGGTGCTTCTCACAAGGCAGCTGGCCAGGACTCACGAGGGCGGAGGCCAAGTATCACCACGCCATGGTCACGGCAGTCTACAGGGCGGCGGCGGGGAAAAAGTTCGCCACCAAGGAGGACGGTGAGCTGGACCTCGACGCCTACCCAGAGGCGGAAGATGAGGCACTGCTCGCCAAGGTGGGAAGGGCTCGGCCGGAGGACCTGCTGAGAGTAGCGAGGCTAAGGCTTTTCGGCGAACTACTGCAAGCAGGACCACCCCTCGCTTTCGCGACGATGGCCCAGCTCCTCCTGCGGCCCCAGCATGCCAAGAGGCAGTCCTGGCCGCAGATGCTAATGGGGGACCTCCGCTGGCTGCAAGGCTGCTCGGCGGACCTGCACGACCTCCCGGATCCCAGTGATGAGCTGAGGCCTTGGGAGATGATGATCATACGCTCGCACTCCTCGTGGAAGTACAGGCTCAACGACACGCTCAAGGCGGCGGCAGCACAGCTGAGCAGAGGTCACGCGGCGCGCATGGCAGAGAAGCGCTTCTTCGCCATTGTGCAGCCAGCGGGAGTGCCGTATTCCACAAGGGAAGGCAGCCCTTTCGGGCCCCCGCAGGCAGGCGAGCCAGACACAGCGTCGACGAGACAATGGACATGCCCGTGGTGCCAGAGGACGTTCAGGCGACAGAGAGGGCTCAGAGTCCACATCTCACAGCAGCACTGGACCATGGTCAGGCTAGCACGTACCTGGACGGGTTCAGCAACGCAGTGCCAAGGTTGCCTGACGATGTTCGACCAGACCCACCACCTCACCGAGCACCTGGCGATTGCATCGCCTGCCTGCCTCGTCGCGACCATTGACGCGGGAGAGGCGCCTGGCAGTGAGGAGAGCGAGTTGCGCAACGAGCTCCCACGAGGACTGCTGAGGAAGAGAGTGAACATACCCGCGATCAAGGCAGCGGGGCCCTTGCCAGACGTGGTATCCCTCAGCCAAGAAGATGCAAAGAAGGTCCTGCTCGAGGCAGACTACGTGCTCGATGACGCTGCCAGGACCACGCTTCAGGAGGGCTCAGAAAAAAGACCCCAGGAGAAGACGGAAGTTCAGCACGACGAAAGGTACGACCTGAACCAGTTCCGCACCGACAAGTACAACGGGATCACCACGGAGGTGAAGATACCGTGGAGGATACAAAGGGCAGAGATCTACGTACTCAACCTATTCTGCGGGCACAGGCGCAAGCAGGACATTCAACATGTGTTCGAGTCAGCGCCGAAGTTCGAAGTGGTGTCGGAGAAGGTGCACATCATGGTCCTCAGCATCGACGTGGCGATCGACGCTCAGCGCTGCGACCTCATGCGACAGGACAGCCTGATGGTTTTCCACGAGGGGATCCTGAAGAGGCAGATCGTGATGACGGAGGAGGACCGCCATGTGAGACATGGAGTGCGGCGAGATGGTCAGAGCAGCCAGGCCCACCGCCGCTCAGGTCCCACGACCAGTTCTGGGGAGTGGCGCACGCTGCACCACGGCAGAGGATCCAGCTGGCCGTGGGGAATGCCCTGATGCAGTCCATGGTGCTCCAGTGCTCCTCCTTGCGGCGCACCTGGTGGCAGGCACGGCAGGGTGGTCGGAGCACCCCATCCCGTGCAGCTGGCGGCTGGCGGCCGTCACATCGTGGACATGGGAGCCGTGGCTCGCGCTGCTGTCGGCGCCGTGCACCACGACCACGGACTTCGACCAGTGCGAGCACGGACAACTGAGCAGGGCCCCGACCAGAATTTTCGGGCTCCGCATGGCGGGGCTGCACAGTCGCCTGACTGCGACGCCTGGGGGAGGAAAATGCTCCCATGGGCGAGCGGCCCACGCCACTCTCCTAGGGCGCGAGGTAGGGTCCAGGGCCTTCCGGACCGCGCGGAAGAAGGTCTACCCCCCGGGCCTCTGCCGCAGCATCGCCGAGAGTATTCTGGAGACGCTCGAATCGGCTCTCGATGCTGCGCTCCCGGACGCGCCCAGGGATGAATCCCAGTCTCACCACCTCCTTGTGCAGGGCCTGGCGGACTTTTATGTCTCAGAGATCCCTACGTCGGAGGACGGGGCCAGGGAGTGGGCCCCTGATTTTGCGAAGGGAAAGGGCCGCAGCAGGCCTGACCCGGAGAAGGGCCGCTTTGAGGCCCCGGGCCCGCCTGGCCAGGACCCCCCAGGCCCCTCCCAGGATCCTGAAGACAGCCAGGGCCCCACTGAGGAGGAGGCCTACGCCGCTGAGGTGATCGGTCTCTCTCCCCTCCTCCGGTCCCCGACTCCGCCTCCGCCTCCGCCTCTCCCTCCTCGCCCCTCTCTTACCGACACCCAGCGGCGCAGGATTGCCGAGAATAAGGCCAAGGCCCAGCGGATACGGCAAGAGCGCCGTAGACCGTGGGCCTCTAGGGGCCTTGACCTGCGACTCGCGTGGGGAGCCCCAGAGGGCTGCCCCATGCAGGACAGCCCCTGCGGGGCTCGGGCTGACTTGCCAAGGAGCGGGTCGGCCTGGGCCCAACAAATCTTCGGAAGGGCCTGACAAGGGATCGGGCCCGCCACACCACCCTCCACCCGGCTACAGGCCGGGTCCGAGCCGGCCCACTATAAGGGCCACTGCACGTCGGTTCCGACAAGACGCAGAGTTCCACCACCACCCCTCGCTCTCCCCCCTCCCTCCCCCTCCCCTCCCTCCCCCCCATCCACCCTCCTCTCCGCATCCGTCCGCGCTGCCCCCCACCTCTCCCCACCCCGGATTCCCGGAAGCCGGCTGGGGGCGGACGGCGAGACCGTCCTTCGAGCGGCAGGCCGCCCTCGGGATCGACGAGGGCGTTGAGCAGCGCGGGGGTGTGGCCTGCGCCCCTCACGGGGAGCGGGGGACCATTGCGAAAGGCAACGTCACGGGGGGGGACCGGCTCAGAGGGGTGACCGGCTCCTCCTCCTCCTCCTCCTCCTCCTCCTCCTCCTCCTCCTCCTCCTCCCTCCTCCCTCCTCCCCTCCCTCCCTCCCTCCTCCCTCCCTCCCTCCCTCCCCCTCCCCCTCCTCCTCCTCCTCCTCCTCCTCCTCCTCCTCCTCCTCCTCTTCCTCCTCCGCCTCCTCCGCTTACGAGGAAAATCCTAGAATCGGAAACGCATCGCCGACAGAGCGGCGGTAAGCCTTCGATAGCGGATCCACATGTTCCTTGGCGGGTTTGGGGCTGTCGGGCCCCAATCGGCGATCAAGGGGTCGATACCTCGCCCCCTCCTGAGCCTGTCCCTCCGTGGCGTTGCCCATGAGATCGCGGCGTTCCGATCGCGCAGCTCGTTCGATGCCGGCCGTTCTTACAGCGGAGGCAAGTACACCAAGGAACCTTGCACGAGAAACCCAACCATGAGCCCCAGGACGGCCATTGGTTTTTGGTGTGGGAACGTCACGCTGACCATAGCAAAAGCATTGAAACCCAAGAAACCCAGGGCACCCTGGAGGCGAGAAGGGTGTTTCGTGGCATGGGTCTCCACTGTAGTCCGCTGGCGGCGTTCAGCCCTGAATGCCCGTGCCAGTGTCGCCGCCGCGTCGTCACGACAAGAAGCTGCCACACTGAGAAAAGCCGAAAAGGGTGTGGCTCAGAGGGAAGAGACGATGACCTGGAATCGGCGATACATCTGACAACCTACCAGACCACACCAACCTAACCCAAAGATCCAAATTTCGGGTTGGGGGGGGTACGGGTTCCATATGTGGTTTTCACTGTTCCCCGACATGCCGCCCCCTGGAAATGGAGGGCACATTGAGGCCTTCGGGTCGGGTCGGGGTGGTTTGGTGGCTGGTGAACAACGCTGGCCGATGGGCGACGGCCCCTGGGAGGGAGACCCCGCACTCCTGGGCAGGCCGGGGCGCCCAGGCCCCCGATCGTCGAGGAGTGGGCGCTGGGGGGTCGATGCCCCCTGCCCCTGCTTTTTGGGCGGCGCGCACGAGGCGGTTGGAGGGAGGGGGGGGGGGCTCCTTAGAGAAGGGGGCTGCTTCTTAGAAGGCGCCAGCCTTACATCTACAGATTCACCTGGGGCCAGGAGCACTTCTGGCAACACCCGAACAGCTGCTCAGCCCAATTAAGAGACGATTGACCCGGATTGATCATCAAGCGGGAGCAAGATGGATGAGGCGGGTAGTCGGCCAGGGTGGGACCAGGTTTGACTGCGAATATACTATCAGGACCGATGCTGAAGTGAACCTCCAATGAGTCAACCTCATCTTTCCGAGGGCGTACAGCGCATCTGCACCAGCCTGCCAGCGACGGCTGGGTAGCGAATCATGTGCGGCGGGCTTGTGTCCAGACGACTTCGGCATTGGATCCTGACACAGTGTGGTCCGATCTCTCTCTCTCTCTCTCGCTCTCTCTTGATCTTCGACGTCCAGAGCCGTTTGTCGGTCGCTGGACCTCCCACAGGTGACCTGGGAAGAAAGGCTAGCTCTAAAAACGGAGTCAAGAGCTCCAGGGGCCGACCATTTGAAATATCTTTAACTGGCCGGAGGTCCGCAGGAGGTCATCAGTCCTGGTTCCCTGCCTTTCTTCTATACGTTATCCTGCAACTCCTCTCCCCGTCCTCCTCCGACAAACACCACCATTACTACGACGACGGCGACCACGACGAAGACAACAACGTTGACTACAACGATGACGACAACCTCTACTACTACACCTACTACTACTGCTACTACAACTACAACTACTACGACTACTACTACTACTACGACTACTACTACTACTACTACTACTACTGCTTCTGCTACTACTACTACGACTACTACTACTCCCCCTACTATTACTACTAATACTTCTACTCCTACTCCTACTCCTACTCCTACTCCTACTCCTACTCCTACTCCTACTCCTACTCCTACTACTCCTACTACTACTACTACTACTACTACTACTACTACTACTACCAGTACTACTACTACTACTACTACTACTACTACTACTACTACTACTACTACTACTACTACTACTACTACTACTACCTAGTACTACTACTACTACTACTACTACTACGCTACTACTACTACTACTACTACTACTACTACTACTACTACTACTACTACTACTACTACTACGACTACTACTACTACTACTACTACTACTACTACTACTACTACTACTACTACTACTACTACTACGAACTAACTACTACTACTACTACTACTACTACTACTACTACTACTACTACTACTACTACTACTACTACGACTACTACTACGGACTACTACGACTACTACTTACTACTACTACTACTACTACTACTACCTACTACTACTACTACTACTACTACTACTACTACTACTACTACTACTACTACTACTACTACTACTACTACTACTACTACTACTACTACTACTACTACTACTACTACTACTACTACTACTACTACTACTACTACTACTACTACTACTACTACTACTACTACTACTACTACTACTACTACTACTACTACTACTACTACTACTACTACTACTACTACTACTACTACTACTACTACTACTACTACTACTACTACTACTACTACTACTACTACTACTACTACTACTACTACTACTACTACTACTACTACTACTACTACTACTACTACTACTACTACTACTACTACTACTACTACTACTACTACTACTACTACTACTACTACTACTACTACTACTACTACTACTACTACTACTACTACTACTACTACTACTACTACTACTACTACTACTACTACTACTACTACTACTACTACTACTACTACTACTACTACTACTACTACTACTACTACTACTACTACTACTACTACTACTACTACTCCTACCACTGCTGCGACGACCACACATTGCGCGCACGGCGGTCGAAAGCAACACGGCAGGCCATAGTTTGCGCCATCGGCCGTAGATGGCGGCGCCCTCGGCGGCCGAAACCAAAGTTTCTTGTCATCGGTTTCGCCATAGACTGTGGACTGCTGTGAATTGTGCCGGTAGACTTGTGTGCCCGTCGGCCAGGACAAGCACGGCCTGCCAAAGGATGCCCCACAGTTTCCTCACTGGGCGGATGAGCACGAGTGTAAATATGAACCCAGACGGGTGCGACCAGTCAGTGGTGGGTAAAAGACGGCTGACAACTAAAACGGCGACGCGTATGGGAAAGGTAGGTGGGAGCAATACGAGGGCAACCGCGCAAGAGAAGGCCGAGGATCAATCTAACGAGGTAGAGAAACAAGAACGGGAGGACGCGGAAGATGACGAAAGCGAGCACGAGGCGAAGTAGAGGACGGCATGAGAAGACAACGATGGCGCGGAGCTAGGGAGCACAACGAGGACATTGGGGAGGGGAGCAAAGCGGCCAAGTGGTCGAGTCGCAAGAACATCGAGCGTGATGCGAATGCTGAATGACTCGTGCATGAACGCGTCGTGGTGCGTGGGCCAAAAGTTATCTGTTGTGTTGATTCGGTTGGCTCGGCGTGCGATGCGGGTAATTTCTAAGGTTTTGAGCGCGCGTGTAACGCATGAGATCTGTACAGGGGTGCGGATACGAAACGCATTTGCGATGAATTTGACAGCGTGCCCCGGGGAACAACGCGTGCGTAAGTTTAGGAGCAGCTAGGTGTTGCAGCGTGCTCTTGTGCGAACAAATACTTGGAAATGAGCCTTTGGAATGATTGGGATTCCTGGCTCTGGTTCCTGGAAGGGAGGACGTGAAGCTGATCAGGCTGTATGGTGCAAAAGGTGGCCAGCAAACAGGCCGGCAACGGGCGAGCACCAGGCGGAAACCTGGAAAAGCAAGCATACGCACGAGGCGGCCACGAGGCGAAAACCCAGAGACACCCGCCCAATGGCTTCGAAGCCAAGTAAGAACCCCGCAGTGCAAGCACTGGTGGGGGAAAATGCGCAATCATAAATGAACCATCGTTTTTCATCGGAGGCTTGCACGACATGCTAAACCTCACAGTCAGCACGTTCATGCGCGCTGACTCGCATGAACATTGCAGCACCGTGCCGCTTTATGGATCCAGGATGTGTGTTTGGGGAGCTTTCGAAAACCATACTGCCTCATGGCTGCAGCATAGCTCCAGGCTCTCCTCAATCCTCGGGGGCGGCCAAGAGGGGGGCGTCAAAAAGGGGGGGGCGCAAATCATGGCCGGCGGCACGTGCGCGGCCCAGGAGGGGGCCAGGGACGTTTGAAATAAGAAGAGGCGACATGAGATCTGGGAAAATATCATGGCCCACGCCATGATACCCCCCCCTAGCCCTCACCCCCTTCTTGGCCGCCCCCGAAATCCGTGCCGCCTCTCGACTGGAGGATTGGTGTCCAGGCCGGTCCCGGGAGCCAGGCGTGCAGCATCGGTGCCAGAAGAAGCTGCTGCACGCCATGCCATGCCATGAAATTCGGGGTCCACCAAAGGGGGGGGGGGACCCTGAGGGGGGGGGGGAGTTCGATCCGCTGGTGCATCGAATTTCCGAAAAACGATGTCCCCCGCGCGCCCCGATTGTCGACGCCTCTCGGGTTCCGGCGGCGGCCGGACACCTCGTTGTGCATAGTTGTTCTGCGGCTCGATGCGCCAACGGACCGAACTCACCCCCCCCCTGTGGCCCCCCCCCCTTTGCGAGGTCCCGAGATATGTTATGCCATGAAATGGGCGAGTTGGGGATGATTTGCCAGGGTGTTGTGATCCATACTGCTGTGCCATGCCATGGTGCGGTTTATCATCACAGACACCGCCGTGGTAAAGGTGAAACGGTGTAGTGAGATCTGCTGGTATACGTCGATGTCCAAAGCTTTGATACACTGCGTGCGGTCAGATGTACATGCTCATGCGTGCAGTCGTTCTGCAGTGGTGTGTAGCCTGCTTGTCATGCAGTGGTGCAGTGCTCACGTTTTCCATTACTGTGTTGTGCGATGTATCGCAGTGCTGCAATATGAAATGCTTCGCTACGCTGTGCAATTCTACACCATCCTCCTCCCCTGATTCCTCCTTCCTCCCCCTGCGGGCCACATCACTGCCGCTTCCGCTGTCCCCACCGCTGCGCACTGGTCGGCTGCAGCTGCATCCGCGAGCGGTACTGGAACAAGGGCAGGTGTCCTGCGGGGGAGTCGGGGAGACGTAAAACTCGGGTACGGGGGACTCGGGTTGGCGAGCGGGGTCATCATGAAGAAGGCGAGACACATATCTGAAAAGTGACGCGAGCTCCCGCTGCAACCATCCCACGAACACTGGACCACCAAAATCCAGGCCGCGCTCGCCAAAAAACCTCGGCAAACCCGAGTTCTGGCTTACTCGAGTCTTCTCGGGGGTGGCCAAGAGGTGGGCGTCCAAGAGGGGGGGGGCACAAATCCGCCGACCCCTTGTGGGTTTCTAGGCGTGTGAGATAGTCCCCCCCCCCATAACCCCCCCCCCAGGGACCCTAAACCGGAGGTTTGACCCCCCCCCCGGCCGGCCCCGGCCCACCCACCGCCGAACGCGTCATGGGGGAGCAGAGGGTCACAAAACGGGCCAAAAGCGCACAAACGGGCCCACACGACGGTCCAAGAAGGCCCCGAATCGCCGAAAGATCGAGCCACGACGCCCAAGAAGGCATCCAGACGACCTCAGATGTCTCCAAGACGTTCCCAGACGCGTCCAGCAGGCTTCTAACTGCGCCCAAGAGGCGCTCCAGGAGGACCCCAACAAACAAAACTTATCGATTTCCTATCGGAAAACGTGCGTTGTTGGTGTATACGGCCTTTGGGTTTCCACGGCGTCGAAGACGGCCCTGGAAGCGTCCAAGACCGCCCCAAGACGGCCCCAGAAGCGCCCAAGAGGGCCCCCAAACAGCCCACAAGGGCGCCAAGACAGCCCAAGAAACGCTCAAGACGGCCCAAGAGGGCCCTAAGACAGCCCCACGAGGGGGACCACAAGCCGAAAATCCGAGCCACTCGCCCCGACAATGCCCCAGGAGGCTCCCAGAAGCTCCCAAGAGGCCCCAAGAGAACCCCAAAAGGCCCCACAAGGCTCCCAAGAGGCGCCCACAAGGCTCCGCGAGGCTCCCAAAAAAAAACAACAAAGGCCCCAAGAGACCCCAAAACGGGTCCCAAAAGGCTTCGAACCTGCGTCCGCGAACCTCGCGAAAAGCCTGACCGCCGGCCGCTTTTCGCCCATATTCCCCCTCTGCTCCTCCTCCTCCTCCTCCTCCTCCTCCCTCCTCCTCCTCCTCCTCCTCCTCCTCCTCCTCCTCCTCCTCCTCCTCCTCCTCCTCCTCCTCCTCCTCCTCCTCCTCCTCCTCCTCCTCATCCTCCTCCTCCTTCGTTTCCACATTAGTTGCGTTCCTCTGCTCGTCGGCTTCGTCCTCCCACTCGCTCGGACCCCCCAGCTCCTGCTCTACTGGCCATGGCACGGGCGCCCTACTGGTATCATGCGCATGCCTTGCACTTCAAGGTGCCCTTCTTCTCGTCACGCGCGACATTGCTCGCGTCCACGGAGAAAGCCGACTTCGGCAATTTCCTCTGGCATCTGCCACTACACGGAGAAAAGCCTGCAAACTGCACGACGTGAACCCGTCGGCACTGCACTCTGCACACGCAACTTTACTCTTCCCCGTGCAGTGCTCGCTCTCCTGTTTGGCGCTTATGTGCCCCTGCCGAGCGAACCCTTTTCTTGCACGTCGCGCACGTGAGCTCCCTCTTCAACCATTTCGCCGCATCCGATAATTACCTCCTTCGCCGCCCTGCCGCGTTTCCTACAGTCGCCGCAAACCACTCGCTTTCCTCTCCTCCTATGATCCTCCGCCCGGCTGCTAGTCAAATGACCTGCCTCCGAAGAAATTCCCGCATCCTGGCACGCAGCACGTCAGCGGCTTCGCCCCTACCTCTGCTTTACGCTTCCTATTGCTCGACTCGCGCGTCGCTTTGTCACGTTCCTCCGCACATGTCCTACACAGCCTCACCCCCCCTGCATGGCGCTTCTTCTGTGCATCCGACATGTCCGCCTTCTCGTCGCGCAGCGAGAAGCACTTCTCGTTCGAACATCGCACAGTGCGAACGCTGTCGCTCCACTTCGCGTTGCCGCTCCGCGACTTCTGCTTGGCTTTAACATGGCTGCACTTCGAGCAGTACAATATTCGAATCCTTTGCGTCTCCCCGTCGCAGGCCGCTGCGTTCGCGTTCCGACCGCTACCATGCACATGTTCTGCAGTATCGCCTTATCGGCTTTCATAACATCCAATACGGGCAAAACAAAAACCTTCAATATCGCCCCCAGACGGCCGATGGGGCCCCCAAGAGGGGTCGAAGAGGGTCCAAAACCAGCCCACGAAGCCCCCAAGACAGCCCAAGAGGGCCACCAGATGACAGGGGAGTCCAGAGGGCACCTTTTCGAACCTTCGGCCCCAAGACGCCCCCAGCCTGCCCCAAGAACACCCCAAGAGGCCCTGAGGGACCCCCAAGAGAACCTCAAAGGCATCCAAGAAGCCCCCAGGAAGACCCCAAGAGGCCCCAAAACTTAACCCAAGATGCCTCGAGGCGGCCGGAGATGGCCTGCAGACAAGACAAGATGCCACCAAAAGGCAACACAAGAACACCAAGAGGTACAATAACAGCAACGAAGCAACAGGAACGATGTCGAGCGCCGTGTCATGATTCAGACAAACCTCGTGAAATGCAGCCCTGGAGGCGCAATAGTTTATATAGGGGTCGGCGGATGTGGCGTAAGCCTATAGAATCATTGTCGGCGGCATGTGCGCGGCCCAAGGGGTGGCCAGGGACATATTGGAATGAGAAGTGGCGCTATGAAATCTGGGCAAATGTCATGGCGCCCTGATATTCACCCCCTCCCTGGCCATCACCCCCCTCTCGGCCGCCCCCGAGCCTTCCCCGCGGGGAGTGCCAACACCCCTGCTTGGGAAGGTTTCGGCTGCGGCGCGGTCTCGACAGCCCCGGCGTCGCCTCCTGCTCCTCCTCCTCCTCCTCCTCCTCCTCCTCCTCCTCCTCCTCCTCCTCCTCCTCCTCCTACCCCTCATCATCATACTGCCCTCAGCAGCCATAGACAACACCCAATCCTGAATTGATCCTGGTCCTCCTCGTCCTCCTCGTCCTCCTCGTCCTCCTCGTCCTCCTCCTCCTCCTCCTCCTCCTCCTCCTCCTCCTCCTCCTCCTCCCCCTCATCATCAGACTGCTCCTCTTCATCACGATCGCCAAGTTGAAACACAGGGGCGGGGACAGTAAAAAGCCGCGCCTAGATGGCGCATCGGCAGAGCATGACAAACTACAAAAGACGAGGAGAAAGCATGACAAACTACAACTCCGAGCTGACTGCAAAGGCGCTGGAACGCAGCCACTACATCTTTCAGTGGTGGGCGGCGGTGGAAATTACACCAGCACGGCGGCATGCAAGAGGGAGGGAGGAGGGAGGCAGAGAGGGAGCGGGGAGAAAACTGATAGCCGTAATCACAATGTTTGGGCATAGCGTTGGACAGCTGCTTCCCACTGGGCTCTTGGAGGACACCGAAAAAGAACCGCTCCTTCAACCTTCCAGGGAGGGGAAGAAGTACGACGACGACAACGACCGCGACGACAAGGGTGTTGTGATGTGGAGAATAGGGGTGAAGAGGAGGTGGGGGGATGAGAGGGGGACGAGATGCAAAGGTTGAGGAGGCCTCATCCCCCGTACCCCAGGGGTATCAAAGCGGAGGGGCAGGAAGAAATATCCTGCTCCGCCTCCGACCTTCACGAGCACCGACGTCCAATAATAGGAGTAGAGAGCTCATAAAACCTCACCCGACATCGACAGGGTGATGCCCACCCTGGCATCAGCGCTACACCTCCCAAGGCTATCGCCAAGATTATGCCCGTCCTCGAGAAAAAAAACATAGACACATTCACGACAAGAGATCATGCCGTGACGGCATGTGCGTTGGTTTCTGGCACCGCGTGTATCACACAACTTTAAACGATCGCGGCATCTTGTAGCGCGGATCGTTCATTGTCGGCCGACTCCAGGCTACTGAGGGCGTTCAACCTTGAAAACCCGCGCTGGGGTCGCCGCCGCGTCGACGCGGCGCGAACCTACCGTAGGCGAATGCTTCCCCCCCCAGTGGAAGGAGGAGGAGCAGTAGGAGGAGTAGGAGGCCCAGTGCAAACCCAAGACGCATGAACGATGTTGTCATAAACCACCCTTGCAAATTCCCCCTTCACAAGCTCATATAAAGATCTATCTTCACTTCGGGAATAGCCGCGCTGGAAGACAACCGTCTGAAAATCTTCAACCTTGTCAAAGCACCATTCCTGGGACTTCGCAGCGAATCAACGTTACACGTCGGTCGGAAGAAGTAGGTCTAAACATGAAGTAGGAAGGCGGATTCAGTTGTTTGGGTCCAGGCCCCCCCAGTGAGTAACAAGACACAGGAAAAGCGTGTCGATTCTTGAAGTAGGAAGGCGCTTGAAGTAGATGGGGATCTGGGAATCCAAACACCTACTTTCAACGACCGGCGTGTACCGTTGCGACCAGACTATCCCAAATCGTGCCCGAAGACCGTTTCTGGGACGCCCACACCGCGGATCAGCACTGTCTCGCCCTGACAGTTCGAACTCGGGCAGCAACACCATGTCTGGGACGCCGGCCATAAGAATCGTTGGAACTGTTGTAAGCTGTCAGAGCGAATGCGTGAGGCGCGAGGGCGAGAGCCACATTTTGAACGCCACCCGTCCTCCATCCGTGAAGCTCTTGCAAACTTGTCAGTCGAATGTGCGCGGCGCAAGGCGAGAACCACATAATTATTGAAGGCGACCCGCCCTCCATCCGTGAAGGTCTCACACGTGTTTAGCACGAACGTGCGAGGGAGAGGAAGAGGAGGAGGAAGAACAGGAGGAGATAATGGGCAGGAGGGGGAGGATCCCCTTTACGGTCTGAAAGGCACGGGATCAGAGGGAAACAGCTCCTGGACCCCGTTGCCTTTGCCCAAGACCAGCTCTCCACCCCGAGTCGTTCTCTGACAGCCCTGGGGACCAAGGAGGACCTCGGGGGCCCCAGGAGGCCTGGAAGGGCCCTGGAAGGGCCTCGAGAAATATTCAAAAGCCTCCCACTCTGTCGCACGCTAACAACATGGGCTAGGGATCCGTGGGCCTGGCGCGTGGGGACGCCAGATCCACGGATCTCGGACAGTCCCCCCGCCGAAGCATGGCGCCAAAACCACCTCCTTTGGCGGCAGCGCGCGACGCTCCTGCATGGGAGCGGGACCCGTCGCTAATCCACGCGCCTTGATCCACGTGTTGCGAGTCCCCGACTCTTCCTCAGGACCCCGTCCTTGGGGGATCCCAAAACCGTGTGGTGAAAGACCGTGCGGTGACCTCGGAACCACGAGAGACCTCACCGCAGGGTCCGTCACGGTCTTGGGACCCTGGAGGCCCCTGTCGCCCGAGACATCATTGAAGAGGGACTTGAGTCCCAAAACCGTGCGGTGACCCCAATCCCCACCGACTCACCACAAGGAGTGGTCACCACACCGTCTTGGGCCGCAATGGCGACTCAGACCCATTGGGGGATGCGGAAAAGTCCTCATCATGCTCCCCAGGGAGCGCCTGCCAGGCGCGGGCGTCGCCACTGCGTCGTGCTCGAGCGGCGAGCCGGGGGCAGGACGGTCTGTGGTGCGGAGGGGGGCGAGTTCACTCCTCCTCTTCCCCCCTCCCCTCTCCCCCCGCGTCCGCCTCCTTGACCTCCTCCTCCTCCTCCTCCTCCTCCTCCTCCTCCTCCTCCTGTTCCTCCTCCTCCTCCTGTTCCTCCTCCTCCTCCTCTCCTCCTCCTCCGCCTCCTCCTCCTCCTCCTCCTCCTCCTCCTCCTCCTCCTCCTCCTCCTCCTCCTCCTCATCATCATCATCATCATCATCATCATCATCATCATCATCATCATCATCATCATCATCATCATCATCATCATCATCATCATCCCACTCGTCATCCACGTCTTCCTCCTCCACGGTGGCTGAAGCCCACCGCCCCGCCGGCTCCGGCTCCGCCCCGCCGTCGCCGACGGCGACGGCGACCTCCGCCCGCCTCCTCCCTTCGCCCCTGCCGCCCCGCTTCGGTCTGCATGGCGTCTTCTGCGCAGTGCACACCCCCGGCAACGAGCGATGCCCTCTGGCGTCTTTGCGCGGATCTCCTCCGAGCTCGGAGCTCCGAGCCCTTGCCGCCCCGCTTCCGCTGCGGCTCGGCCCCCGCGGGGCCCCCCCGCCGCGCCCACTGTAGCCGCCGCCCGCGCAGCCGGCCACGGCAGCGACGCGACGGCGGCCCCGGCAGCGCGGCGGGGGGCGGCGCGGACTGCGGGCATGGCGAGGTCGCAGCGCAGTCGGCCCTCTGTGAGCTGGGCCCCCTCGCCGCGCCGCGAAGCCCGCGGTCCGGGGATGGCCGCCTTCCGGCGGCCCAGTGGTGCCGCCGCTGCAGCGTGGGCCTCACTCTTCGGGGGCGCGCAAACACGGATTAGCGATCCGTGGATTTGGCGCGCCGTCGCCAAATCCATGCCTCCCCAGAATGCGGCCGGTGCCGCATCGCTGGGCGGCGGGAATCCGCCACTTCCCATGGAAACGGGACCCGTCGCTAATCCGCGCCCCCCTAATCCATGTTCGCGATCGTCTGAACTCTGGGATCGGCGCTCGACTCCTCGCCGATCAGAACGGACACTCGCCCAGCGCGGGCCACTTTGCTGGATCCGAGTGGTCAGGTGCCGGGCGGCGCCTCTCGCTCGCGTCGCGGCCGCAGCGCCCCTCGGCTCCTCGCCCGCCCTCCCCCCAGAGGCCTCCATAGATGCCGTCGGACCCGGGCCGACCGCACGTGACATCATTGGAATCGCGAACCGTCGATCGACGGAGCCTGCCCCGCTGTAAGGCTGAAGCACGCGTGTCCGAATGGACGGAAGGGTAGCGCGGATGAGAACGAGCAGGAAGCAAGGGGGGAGAGGGGGCAAAACCCCCCCTTCCCCTGTCGTTGCCCCCCACCCCACCCCTCCCTCCCTCCCTCTTTCTTTCCCTCCCTTCCCCCCCCCTTTTCCTGCCTCCACCCCTTCTGCCTCCCTCCCCCCCTCCTGGCTGCCTGGCTCGCGCCGCTCGAGGTCGAAGGCGACCTCCGCCGCGAGCCGCGCGTCTCCGGCCAGCATCGCCAGCAGGTCGTCCTCGTGGGGGGGGCGGACGGTGCCCTGCAGGCCGCTTCGGGCGGCCGCCGCCCGCCGCTGGCCGCCTCCGCCTCCGCCTCTGCCTCTGCCGCTGCCGCCGCCGCCGCCGCCTCGCTGGGCCCGCCCTTTCTCCATCCCCCGACCTCCTCCTTCTCCTCCTCCTCCTCCTCCTCCTCCTCCTCCTCCTCCTCCTCCTCGTTTCGTTTCGTTTCGCGTGGCGGACAGAGCTTCACAAAGCTACCCCTGATGCAATATGCTTGTGGTACGTGCTACCCAAAGACTGCGCGCAGACTGAACAATGATGAGAAAATTTGCAACAATATGACGCGCGCGACATGGAGGAGGAAGGAGGATGAGGGTGAAACTTGAGCCCAAATGGTTCCGGAAGGCGTTGCCTCCGAAATTAAACGTTGCATTCACCACTCATCAAATCACCGGCATTCGCCAGCCCTCGCCTGGAGCTCGTCCAGGGCGCCTTCCAGAGCGATGGCCTCCGCCATGAAGGAATGCATGGGCGGCTCATGAAAGACGCCGGCCACCGCCACAATTTCGTATCCAGCTTCGGTCACGGTTCCAGGCGCCCACGCACTGGCTGAACAATCTTTGCGAGTGCCCCCGTCAGAGAATGCCAATAGGTTGGCTCCGGGTGGTATGACATCCGCTGGCTGGCGGACCTCCCGCCAAAACGATCGCCTGTCCATGGTGAAGTTGCACAAATAATCTGCGAGAACATTGCGGTCCCTGTCCATCCACCTGAACGGGTCGTCCCGGTCGTTCGGCGGAAGCCGCCCAGAGCCCATGATGTTGATGATTGTCTGTGTGACCCTTGTGATCAAAGGTCGAAATTCGTCGCCGCGCAGAGGCACGTGTCCGCATGCGATCCACTGCAGAAGCTGGCAATCCACAGCGCAGAGGAATCTGTCGCCAAAGCTAGCCAACCTTCTTTGAACTCGAAGCCTCGTGCCACCTCTTGCCACGGCCCGGGTCGTTCAGCGCGGCCCGGGCGCACTGCCGGCGACGACCGCGATCTGGCAGGGCACGTTGGTGGAGCGCGCCGTGACAGCAGTGCCCAATCCCCACAAATGGTGCGGACAAGCTCATTGACCCGCGCCTTCCACTCCGCGTTTGAACCGGTCGTGCCTCTGGTGTCAGTGCGCCAAGTACGCCCGTGCGCCTTGATCATGACGTCCTCCCACTCGGTGATGTTCCCTGCTCTACTATGCACAAATCCTTGTAGCTTGCGCTTCTTATGCGGGGCGCTCTTGATAGCGCCCCACACTTCCCGCCCTCGAGCAGTGCGAATCTCTCCCAGAAGGTTGTCGGCGCCTGGTCTTCCAGCGCTGTGGCTGCTCTCTCTCTCTCTCTCTCTCTCTCTCTCTCTCTCTCTCTCTCTCTCTCTCTCTCTCTCCAAACGTTGGCGCGGATCGCCTGCAAAGCTCTCTCGTGCAGCTCGCGCACGCCGAGTGCGCCAAACCACTTGGATATCAACAGCGCGGCACGGCGGTTGAACTACATGTTCCCCTCCGCCGGTTTCCTTTTCATCCCGAGCATTTTGCGCACCGAACGTAATTCCCATCTACGGAGACGTTGAAGCAGTGTCTTATCAACCGTCCAGCAGCCGCTGCAATGCAGCGCACTTGCGGCCACACTCGACCATGCCTCGATTTTAGCTGACACGGTTCCTGGTCCGAGAAACTGCTTGGAGCGCACCCAGAACAGCTGCTCTGCTTTGCGTAGCCTATGGTCCACCATAGTCTTGGTGCCCCTCCCCCTCCTCCTCCTGTTGCTCACCCCTCATCCATCTCTTGACCTGTTCCTGCTGCTGATGGTGCCCCCCCCCCCGCGCGCGCGCGCTCGCGGCGGCGGACAATGCAGCGCCCCCACTGGCCTGGCCCACGCAAGAGACGCACATCTGTCACCAGACCTTGTGCCCAGCGGGCGAGATGTCTTTAATTTTGCAGGCCCGGCCGCCGCCGCCCCCTCAACGCGCGCAAGGCTCTGAGATCGCAACCCCTGAAATTGCTCCCTGTCAGCCTCTGGGCGACCATAATGGTCAGCAGGACGGCTTCTCGGACAGCCAGGACAACACCGAAACGGCTCCAAATGGCCCAACATGGCTCAAGATGCTCGAAAGACGGCATCAAGACGGCTCAAGAAGCCCTCAAGACGGCCCACGAGGGCTCCACAAGGCTTCCCCGCAAAACCCGAGGGAACAAAGACCTTCGATTGTCCTGAGGTGTTTCAAGGATGGGGGCGCTCTCGCCCGCTTGGCCCCCGACCGCCCGAGACGTTTGAAGGCCAGAAACAGACAGCGAAACTAAACGCCACCCGGCGCATAGGCACAGGCACCGCGAGGAAAAATATACCTCAGCGGTGCAGCACAATAACATACATACGGCAAACTCCAAGTTTCAGTTAAAGCCACGTTCTGGCAGCATCGATCGCGAAACTCGCAACGAAACAGCGCCAACTACGTCAGTCGCCGATGACATGTTGCACGGCGGCTTCAGTAGCGAACAGCGTGGCTACATTCAGCTGTAGACGCGTCGCCCACTCGCGCCTGGGCCGACATCTTGGCCCCCGCAGCCCCCCACTGGCGGACCGCAATCTGCCCGGCTTAAAAATCAGCGCGCGCAGCACGTCGCCGCCGTCGGCCCCGCAAACCTTCCCATGCCAGAATAGCTCGCGTCGTAGGAGCTGCAAAGTACATCTAGGCTGCCAGCCCTGCGCGAGCACCGTCTTGTTCGCCGCCCTCGAAACATGCGCATTATGCATGGAATTCGGCGTAGGCGACGAGCTTGGAATCCATCGAGCCGTTGTCTTTCCCACTGCTCTAATAGCAACGACAGACCGAAATACTTCAACCCTCCTGGCCGTCGCAACACATGAGTGTTCCCACGCGCGCTCGAAAGCGGAAGCTACGCCCCATGCCATCCCAAATCGACTGGCAAGTTCCCCACCAAGCTTGCCAGTTCTGCACAAAGTAGCCCCAGAATTGCTTCATGTACTCTTTCGCCTCGATGGCGGCGCCTCCTGGGGGAGTAAATATGGATGTCGCAGCGCACGCACATCGGCTGGAACTTGCCCCACTGCAAGCTCCCCCCAAACATGTCTCCAGCAACCGCCACCGCCTCCAAAAGTAAGTCATCAGAAGTAAGTCATCGCATACAAGAGTACTGAACTTTATCATGTGTCCAGAGCCTGGCGACCATTTCCAAAGTGACTTGTTTCTGGCTTGGCGGATCGCAACTGAAATCGACAACCTTGTGAAAGCCCTGATTCTTGTGGCCGCGATTGAAACGTGCGCCGTCCGCCCGCTACGCAGATATGCCAATTCTCGCGCACGTTGCCACTAAAGTGGAGCATTGAGTGCGAATGCGAATTAATCTGAAAATTCCTCTGGCAAGTATTGAATCAAAAGCCTTCTTGGAATCCAACCTCCACGGCTGTCTTCCCGCTGTCCTCCCCGAGCGCTACATCGATGCGCCTCCTTACAGCATGCGCGGCGCCCGAAATACCTCGCGCTCGACGCTTCGCCAGCCGGCCCTCCGCCCCTGCCCCCCGCAGCCTGTTGAGCAGAAGGCTTGCCAGCAGCTTGCAAAGTATGCACAAAAAGCTCATCGGATTTTAGTTGTCGCACACGTCGACGGGCCCCATGTTCTTGCAAATCGCGCTGGCAAGGCAAAGTTGCCACTCGTTCGGCGCAGACGAGCACCTCCAACATTTAGTTTGAACAAATCGGTTACCCACTGTAGTTTCCACGCGCGTCTGCAAGTGTTTCCCAATACTCAGCTGGGATGTCGTCGGGGCCGGCCGCATCATCACGTTTGAGAAGACACACTGTTGCCCCAACTTGTCCGCGCGTAAAATCCGCCCCCGAAGCCGCCAACAGGGGCACACCACCTGCAGAGAGAACATGCAACTGAAGTTTTTGGAGACGCTCAAACATGGCATCTGCCCCGCAACTGTTGTCTACCAGGTTGCCTTCCATATTATTCAGCCTGCCTTGTTTCCCGACTCGAGGCAAGCATGCTCTTTTTGCAGAAACGCCCAACTCCCAGCGACAATTCGGTTATCCATGTTGTCCTGTCTTCCCTCGCTAACTTACATTTCTTCAGCAGTTGTTTGCTGTGTAAATGTCATGTTAAAGCCACGCTTGAGTAAGGAGGTCGATGAGATCCAGAGTGCGTTTTGAGATCCATGGTGTCTTACACCTGCTCCTGCAGAAAACGGAGCACTTGCCTCGCGCGATTGATGCCGGCGCGTTTCTCACCACGCGGTTTGCGCAGGATTCTGCGGGCTGACAGTCCCGAGAACAGCGCCCGCGAATCTTTGACGAACGAACGCGTCCGACAGAGAACGAACGTCGTGACGCTAGCGCGCCGCGATCGGCGCAGCCGCCAAGTCGACACCGATGGAACGCGTGACTAAGATGCGATATGTGGTATGCGTGGCCCCGCGATGATTCCCCAGCCATCTGATATCATCAAGAAGGGTATCATCACATATAACAATATCCAATAGATTGAATGTTTTTTTGTCCGAGGATGTCGCTCATCGATTTGACCTTCACCTCCATGAAAGTTCCTTTCTTGCACTGCTTCTGGGGGGGGAACCGCGGGGCCACCTTCAGACAAGCGCCCGTGCAGAACTCGAGCAAGAGATCTCTACTTGGAACTTCCACTTGGCGCACTGCTCGCCAGCCGCAGCCGCACAGTCCTACAGCATTTTCTCAAGCGACGGCCGTGCCAATCCTGGCATTGAGATCGTCCGCGATAATTTCTCCGTTGTAAGCGCAACACGCCGTGTACTCAGAGGCAAGAGACGCATAAAACAGTTGGTGTTCCAGCAACGGCTTCAAATTGAGATGCGAATAATTATGTGGTGAATATCCAATGTACATTGGCCCACTTGTTATTTTGAGCAGGCATATTCGACCAGAAACCTGCTGGTACGAATTGGTGCGCTATTGAACACGCGGTGCAACAAGTAATGCAACT